ATATTTTTTGAATCCTTTGTGTTTCCAGAATTATTATGTATATAAAAGAGTATTTTCCCTATAGTAGAGTTGAAATAACACTTTTAAGCCTGAAATAAATATAAAATAAAAATTTTTAAATATTTTTTTGAAAAATCACATTTAATTCTTTATTAAAAATTTAAAATTTAGAATTATTATTGTATATAAATAAAGTAAAGCCCAAAAAAATTCTAAAAAAAAAAAAACCGAAAAATAAACCGAAACAAATTACAATTTTAGTACATTTTTAATTTTTTTATTTTGGTATTTTTAAAATATTTTTTACTCCCTTAATTTTTTGTTTTTTTTCTTCTCCTATTTTTAATTATTTATTACATAATTCAAGAAAATAATACCAAAACTTAAAGTATTTTAATGTTTTTCTATAAATTATTTTATTACGTATCCTTGTTCCTCATACATATAATATTGAAAAAAAAACCCAAAAAATAGAAAAGGAAGAAGAAGAAGAAAATAAAGTAAACTCATAACATATACTTACAATGAAAATTATTTTTATACATTTAAATAGTAAAAAGTACATACGTATGTAATCCTTACATATTTATACACATTTTATATATTTATAAATATTATATTTACATATATACAAACACACATTTCATACATACGTACATATTTACACTTCATGTAATCTTTAACAAAGAAAAACTTTCTTTTCCCAAAAATGAAAAAAAAAAACAAAAAAATTTTTTCTTTTTCTTTTGTTAATAAAAAACTTTTCATTTTTTGTTTTTCTTCTTCTTATTTTTATTTCTATTATTTTTCCCATTTTTTTTTTCATTTTGGTTGTGTGTTTTTTCTTTTTTGCTTTTAATGCGTCCAGCAGTTCAATTGTACTTAGATAAAATTACAAGTTCTATTGAAAAATACAAACATTTACGAAATTATTTAGGGATATGAAAAGCTTAAAACATTTGTAGATGTAATAAATCTTTTTTTTTTTCTTTTTCTTATTTTTTGTTTTTTTTTTTTTGTTTTCATTTTGTTGTGCCCTTTAAATTTTGTGTACTTTTTATAACATATTTCCATTATAATGAAGTACTGGTCAAATTATTAGAGCTTATTTACTAAAATCGAGTTGAAGGTAATTGAATAAGAAAATGTCAAATTATAAGGTCAGTATCTGTGCGTGTGTAGAAAATCAATTGTAATGCGGTGGTTAATTTTTAAAATATTTGTAATTTAGCTGCGTATTATTATTCCGTATCCGTATACTTATTTCTAACAATCAATTCAAATTAAAAATGCTTTCTTCATAATCTTGAGGATAATACAGCAACCTTGAGGCTAATTAACTTAGGCGTTATAAAATCGAATGCTCTTTCATCAGCGAACAATATCTAAGCTTAAAACTGTTCTTAAATATCTGAAAATTATGATACCGAAAAACTAGATGTCTGCATGATAAATTATTTGTTATTGCTAAATTTTGTATTTTTAAAAGTCAATATCTCTAAATCAATTTAATTGCGAGTTATCTAGTTATAGTATTAGCCTCACGACATATAAACTACTAAAGCTTATATGTTATGCTTTCATGTTTTCATTAATTTCACTTCAATATTTGTAAAATTTTGTAATTTTTATTTTGTTTATGAACTAAATCAGTGCATATCCTGCGAAAGACACTTTAGAATATGTAGAAGACGTAAATGCATCTTTTAATTATCACTTTTTTTCCTTACTCTACTTGGGACTTTTCCACTTGACTTTTAGAATTAAGCATTAGTTTTACAGATACCATACTGCTATAGTTTTTCTTAATACTAAATATTGAACATCATTTGATCGTGTTCAATATCGAATATTGTTGAATATATGGGGAATTAATTTTATACTAATATTTTATTTTGTAATATTTTATGTTAAGCCTTATAATATTAAGTATAATTATTATAGTGATCTGACCAGTGAACCCGAAGCTCTTTGGTTAAACGACCAGTGCCATAATCAATGCACCATTGGCCAGATATTTTTTTATTAAAAATATTTAATTATTATACTCGAACATACTTTATAAATAACTATAGTCTAAAATTGGAAATTATTTTACATTTAGAATACTTTCTTACTGTGCAAGAATAGTACTTTTCGACTTCATTTCGAAAAATAATTTTGAAATTGCCCCTGACTTCCTAATTTTTGATTTTCAAAATTTTTTTAATAAAAATATTATATATTTTGTCCAGTTCTGTTTTTAAAAACAAAGACATAAATAAAAATATAGGTACAATAATTCCATCCAAAAAGAGAAAAAAAAAAAAACAGAAAAACCTTAAAAGAAATACCAGAAAGGATAATGAAACAAAAGCTCTTGTATATTTACTCTTATCACATAAATATACCAAAATATTTGTACGTATGTATGTACGAAAATATAAAGTACATTCGTATATCTATAAATGTAAGTACGTATGTACACAATTATTATATTTTTTCATGTATGAGGGAAAAGTTTTTCTTACATGTGCAAAAAATTAAAAATACAATAAAGAAAAAAAAAAAAAGAAAACACAAAAGAGCAAAAAAAAAAAAAGAGAACCCTACAAGAAAAGATCACAAAAAAAAAACAAACCAACAACAACAAACAAGAAACTACAAAAATATAATAACAAAAACTGAAAAAAAAAAAAATATCCAAGACAGAATAATGAAAAATGTCCGTACATTTGAAAGTTATAATGATTCAATGCTCTCCATCACATGAGTTCTTATAATATGAATTTACACATTTACTTATATATTTTATAAACATACATATATACATGAATAAATAATCAAACATACATGTAATTCATACATTGTATGTAAGTACAATATAAACTGAGTAAAATAATGTAAAATATAATTGTATATTTATTATATAAATAGATATATGAAATATGTAGGTTGAAAAATTTGGCATAATACGAAAAATACCGAATTATATTTTATAAGGGATGCGGAAGAAAAGAAAACAGAATAAAAGAGACGAATATGGTCGAAGAAAAAAGGAAGAGAGGAAAAGATTGAGAGGACGATACTTTTTCTTTAATAAATTCAGTTTTTTTTTTTGAAGAGTGTATAATATGTACGTGTGTTTATATAGCGGTAAGAAAGAAAAATATAGTAAAAGTAGAAAATTGATCAAATAAAACTGTTATTATTTCTCTTGTATTTTGTTTTTATTATTATTATTATTGTTATTTAGTATTGATGTATGATGATGGGTGAACATTTAAAGTACATTGAAAATTTTAGTTTTCTTTTCTTTTATTGTTGTGTTTTTTCTGTGTTGGTTCCCTCTCGTTGTCTTCACATAAAAGAACACATACTGTACATACACCATTGTATAAAATAATAATTTCTCTTATTTCCTAAGTCATTTTCTTTCTCTTCTCTTTCACTGTCTTTTTTTCTTTTACCCCCTCTTATTACATGCTTTCGTATTATTATTATTGTGTGTTGTTGTGTAATTATAAATATATATATACATATGTATTATTGCTATTATTATGATTATATTTATTATTGTTCGATATTTATTATAGTGGGTGATGAAATGGTCGATGGGTCAACGCGTGCCCCTATAAATATGTGATACGAGTGTACGGAATAATATAAATTATAAATATGTGCATTTGTGTATACGATTACATATTTTTATTATTTATCATACCTATAAGTAATTTTATTTTATATATATTTTTTTTAAATACATGTATGTATACATAGAGTATGTGTACAATAATATGAAAGGTAATACATTATCTTTTCAATGTTATTTTAGAGTAACTGTGATATTATTTTTCTTTTATTTCATATTTTTTTTTTTTTTTTTTGTTTTCTTTATATTCCCATCATCATTTTAATCATCAAAATATATGATTATCATTACAATCAATTGTAGCATCATCATCATCACCATCATAATCAATATTATCATGTAGTATGTTGTTATTGTTGTATATACATTGCATATACATACTTGCCTTTTTCTTCTTTAATTTTTATTCCTTAAGTTTTACTCTCTTTGAGAATATTTGAATTTGTATTAGTTTTCCTCTTTATTTTCTTTAGTCTTTTAACTGTTATTTCATAACTATTTTTCTATATACATATATATGGTTTAAGAATTTTTTGAAGGATTTTGTATTTGTATATTGTTTTTCGCACAAATATATTATAATTGTATGTACGTGTATTATGTAACTTGCAATATTTTTAACATTTTCCTTTTTAATTTTAATTAATAATTTATTTTTTCAGTAAAATTTCATAGAATATTATTAGATTTATAAAGGCTTTTAAAATTTTGTAAATAATATTTCTAAAATTTTTTTGGAAAATTATTTATGAATATTTTAAAAGTAAATATAATTATGATTTAAAATAACTTCCATATGATAGTATACATACAACTAAATCTAAATTTTAAAATTTTTTTCGTAACGAAGAATGGTACTTCAATAGTACCCTAAGAGAAAGGAGTGTATAGGTTGCCTATAAAATATTTTCTTGTAAGAAATGCAATATAAATCAGGACATGAAAAAAATTTCCCTATTATTATTAATAATATATACTCCTGGTTCAGAATATTGATTTAAAAGCCTGGAGATCCTAGCCTAAGGATCAAATTTTTAAAAAGTCAACCAGATGCATATTATAATAATTTTAAGTTTAAATTCTATAATTTGCATCTGGATTCGAAATAATTCGGTGATTTTAAAAAAAAAAATCCAGTGTCTCGAATCCCGTCATTCAACCAGTATCCCGAATGACTTATATTCCAATTTAATTTAAAAAAAAGATGAAGTTTTGTGCTGCAAAAAATCAATAAGACATTTAAAGCTCTTCAAACAATATAAGATGCTCGTAGATAAGATTCTGAAAACTTAAAAAAATTTGACAAAAACTCATTTCACATCGTTTTAATTATGCAATGTTAAAAATATAATTTTTTTTTATTTTACAGGTGCACAAACTTTGTATACGACAACAAATTTGGCGAAAAATCAAAATTTTTCATTAATGTAAGTTTTTTTTATAAATAACAATAAATTTTTAGGTTAAAATAAGTAAATTGTATACAACTATTTTTTTTTCTCAAAATAATTTTTCTATATATTTCATCCATATTGTGACTTACAGTTTTCACAAGCAATTTTTCATTAACATCGTCCTTATCTTATTCCTCTTAAGAAAAAATTAATTTGAATTACTGTAGATAATTCAAATTAAATTTTTTTTTTTAAATATTTTTGCAAGTAATTTTCGTGAACTATTCTTAGTTTTGACTTATTGTATCTAAAATGCTGATTTTTTCCGCTTAAAAAACTTAGACAAATTTTAACTCAATCATTTTCGTCTAAAATTTTTTTAATTATTTTGAAAAATAAAAAATCAAGAGGTGATATCTTCAGTTTTATATTGAATATTATTAAGTAATAAGTAAGCTAAACAAGAAAATTTTAATCTTAAATAATATTATATGTAATAAAACTTGTTAAACTAGTTTCTTTCTAAAATAAATGGTATTTTGCGTTGCAAAAGTTTTCATTGTGACAAAATAACAACTTCTGGTAAACAATTTAAATTATACTTTCATCATTAATTAATCGTTTCTCATTTACTGTCTATTACTATTTGTTTACCGCCAAGATGTAAGACAAAAGAAAATGTACATTTCTATTGCTAAAAATGTCAATATATGGGTGTCTACCAAAATTGCAAAATTTCTATACGCAGAATATGCAATCTACTTTTTGTTAAACATTTTAGTAAACAAATATATAATGTAGACTGCCAATTCTACTTTAGTCAAAAACCTTTAATTATTTAATTAATTTATTTAATTTTAAACACCTTTACTTATAAAAAGAAAAAAAAAGTAATTTTCCATTTAAATTTTGACGTTTCTCTCCTATTCTTTTTTCAATGCATACTGAAATTTTTGTCTGCAAAAATATGTCAAGTTGACGTCAATTTCGCTCGTTTGTTTTTAAAATAAAGGTACAAAGAGAATTTAGTAAATTCTTACTTTCGTTAGAAATTCTGATTGTACCAAAATTTAGAGAGTCAAATTGACTCCAGGTCTTTTATTTTGGTAGACAGGGTATGTGTGCAATGACATGAAATGTTCGTGATACCTTGATTATTAGATCAGAATCTAATATTAAGGCAGGCTCGGTACAGACTTCAACAATTGAAAAACAAGCTTTAAGAATTCTGCCATTGCGAAACAAAGCTTTACAAATTTCTTATAATTTTTTCAAATATTTTTCAATAAAATCCATTAATTTACTTTATAAACTAATATTACTATCCTCAATAAAAATATCAAAATAAAGTTTACTTTAAAACAATTCTAAAACATTTTAATTAAAAAAAAAAAAGAATATCAATTGTATGAAATCTAAATAATTTAAAAAAAGAAAAAAAAAAAAACACAAAATTTTTAAATTAAATTCACTTAAAAATTTTACCAACAAATCAATTTAACATCATAATAATAATACCATAATTCATACATACATACATTCATATATATTAACGAATATTATTTGTTAATATTGAACATGAAACAAAAAATGAATTAATATTATTCATGTACACAAAATGTGATATAAATGTCTATGTTTACATATATATAGATTTTTTTTAGCCACAAATACATAATATGTTATATAACAAGCCTACACAAAGACAATAAATATAATAAATAACCCTCTAATATGTTTATATATTAAAAAATATTTTAATATACGTCTAATGTCTAATTTTCAATAAAAACAAAAATTAAACCATAAATATATTTATATAATGCTCTTTCTCTATATTTAATTATATATAAACCTACATAATACTTCATATATATGTATATATATAGAGTTAAACCAATTAACCGAAAAAATAAATTAACTACCCATTGAATATGACCTATGTTTGTATATATGTGTGTATACTCAATCATTATATGCTCCACGCTCTTATATTTTGTTATATACATATATAAAATTTATGTGATAGCATAGAAAAAAAATTGCCCACTTCTATAAAATAAACACGCATATTCTCACACATAAAAAATTACATCTAATGTTGAAATCATTTTAAATTATTAGAAACATAGGGTTTTTTAATATATGAAATTTGTATTTATTTATTTATTTATTTAATATTTATATTTGTTTTTATTATTTTTCTCAATTTAACTACCACTGAGTTCCCAATAAAATATTTAAACGTTTTTAATTTTTACCCATATCTACTCTTTTTAGATTTTTTTTTTGCTCTGTTTTTACTCTTTCTTTTTACAATTTTTTATAATATGGTGTACGAAAAATTGCGCCAAAAAAATTTATATAATACTTCAAAAGTAAAAAAAAAAATGCAAAATAAAAAAAATGAAAAAATAAATTTTAAATGTGTAAAATTAGAAGGGATATTTTTAAAAAGAGTATGAGATCAATATTTTTGTTAGCCCCATTATCTAAAGAGCTCAATTGCAAATACCAAAATTTTAAAAGTTTGAATTACCAAAAAAAAAACCATTTATGCCCGAAATATCTTTAACAAAAATAATTCTTTTTTATAATTTTTCTCTTCGCAATTCATAAAATATATAAAACAATAGCGAAAACCCATGGCCTTGTTCTTTTACTTAAGGTACAAAAGTATACTGCAGAAATTATACACATTTAACATCACAATTCACAAACGATTTCAATTGAACTGCGAAAATATAAAAAAAAAATGAAAAAATCTATTTTGTGCTTTCAATTATTGCCAATCATTAAATTTCACAAATAAAATTTCTCGTCAATTTTAAATTTTTTTCCGCGTTTTGTTTTTATTTTTGGAACAAATTATTCTATATCAATATATAAGCTATATAATATTATTTTGGTACACCATATATTATATTAAAATATAACAATAAAATAATGATGCATACATACATACACATACGCAAACACATTAATGAGTACAAGTGACACAAAAAAATTAAAAAATATGTAAAAAAAAATGAAAATTCCAAATTAAGTGGGTTGATTTTCAACCCCTTCAATTATTATAAGCTTTATAGCTCTCATTCTCTCATTTTTAAGTATACGGTAACAGAGCACATATGTACATACAGTAAATGTGCGAATTCTCCATATAAGGGAAGAGAATGTGAAAGAGAAAGAAAGCAGTTTGTTGAATATCACTGTTTTTTATTTTCTTTTATTTTTTTTTTGTTTTTGGCCAAAATGTGCAATGGAGACAGAAAAAAAAATTTTTTTTTTTTTTGCTCACTCATTTTATTCTGATGATGATGATAATGATGATGATAGTGATGATAATAATGATAATGATTACTATATAATAATAATAATAAAGAGATTCATTACTCCTCAATCATAATTTGGGAACCCCGTGGTAAACAAGGATGAAAAACACGAAAAAAATTTTTCATGTTAAAAATTATTTTATTTGCATTTTTTTTTGTTATTGTTGTTGCTGTTGTGTGTTTTTCTTTTTTTTTTGTTTTACCTTTATTGTTATGCTCCGATTTGATACACACATATTAATGTGTGTATGTTTTTATATTTTATTCCCTATTAATTTTATTTTTATTCTTATTTTGTTTTTTTGGTTCTTGTATATTTCCCCAATAATATTCGAGTGTTGGAGTAATGCTGTTTTGTTTGTTTGTAATGTTGCTGGTTGATTAAAATTTTATTTTGTTTTTAATTTTTATTTGGGTGCACATTAATTTTCAGTTGGCTTTTAAAACTATAGATTTCTATAAAATTATTAAAATATGTACAGACACACATACATGTAAATATATAAAACAAGTTCATCTATTATGCGGACTAATATTATTTACGAAAAAAAAAAAAATGTAGTATAGTAGACAGTGGTAGACAAGTGAAACAAAAAAGCAAAACAAAATAGTAATAATCAAAAAACTATTGAAAAATTAAGGTTATATAATAAAAATATTTCATATAATGTTTAACAGTTTAATTAAGAAAATTACATATTTAGAAATTTTTATTTAAATCAAGTGATGATAGTTTGCTTTACAGTTAGAATTTACTTCTATCAAATAAAATAATATTTGGGATCACATAGGATCGATAATTGATATTTCATTAAATTTTAACATCATAATTTTACGTTATGTCACTTTATATGTATTCCAGTTATATGTTATAAAGATTTTCGTATATTATTTTACATGTACATATAGCGTATACATTCAAAGTAAAATATTTAGAGGCGAATTATTTGGAGGAATTTTAATTAAATCTTCGTTTATTCATACAATATGGAATTAGATTTCACTTCTTATAATAATATAGCAGGTTATATATATTAGTTAATGCAATTGATAGTGATTTATGGGAAATCCATAGTATTACAAAATACAAAGTATAAGGATACAATTATTTAGAGTAGGATTAATGAAGACGGTCTAAGATATTAGGTTTTTTTGAAATTGGCCAATTAATGAAATTTATTATTCAAAATAATTTTTTTATTATAATTACTTAATATATGGATGCCCTTATTGGAAAAAAATAATGTCTTTCAGGTTAGTTGTAATAAATGGAAGCTCTGAAACATAAATTCGAAAAAAATTGCATATATTATGGGGCTGAAAGTATTTTGTCGAATTTGTTATAGAGCAATAGTTGAATTGAAAGCAAATTGATTTTGAGAATTCTGAAAATTTTAAAAATTTCCTATAATTTGCTTAGACAAAATTGAAATTTTTTAGAATAAATATGATTTTTTAAATTATTTTCCAAATTTTCCTTCATAATTTTACATCTGATCAATTATTAAAAGATTGTAAATCGAGATAAATGGGTTAACCAGTTAAAAAGTAAAAATAGTTTAGAATTAAAATCTTCAGCAATAATTTGGAAAATCATGTGTTATTTAAATTTATTTATTTAGAATAATTTCGAAAATAATGCATATTTTGAGGCGTTGAAAAAACATAATGTTACTAAATTACTATAGTAGTAATGGA